ATGTTCAGAATTGTAACCTTCTCTAAATGTTTCCTAGGTTTTATAATTCTCAGACCTTAGTGTTAATAAAATTATTCACACATCTAAACCCAAGTAACATATGTCACTACTGTTATAAAAAAAACTCCTTAAAAGGTATAAAAAAGCCAGAGAATACAATAGTCCATAGTCAGGATTTAAAAACAAACAAACAAACAAACAATATAGATTTTGTAAATCAATCAATTTTGTCAGGAAGAGCAAATTACAAAGCATTTAAAAAAGTCTATTTGTTGAAGTAGTATTGACTAACAGAACCAGAACTGATGAAAGTAACAGAGAACCCAATTTAAAAAAAAATACTGTTCAAGTTTTGGCTTGGTCCAATCAATTTGATCTGTCAATGGAAGCTCCTAAACTTTATTTTCCCTCACAACGCAGTTGCTTGAATGTTCCTGAGAGTTTCCTATATTGTAAGACATGGAAGGTTTGTTGTATAAACTGAGCTAGCATGTATAAAAGAAAAGGATGGTTACAGAGTGAAAGGGACTATAAAACACTGAAAGGAAAGGAAGCAGAAAGAAAAAAGCAATGAATTGAGAAGTGAAGAAGGGATATGACTATTTAGGAAAGGGAAACAAGAAGAGGGGTAGATAAGTAGAAGAGAGTAAAGAACTGAATGAAAGGAGGATATGTTAAAGGATAAAGTTTATCTATCTAGATACAATCAGCAAACCTTTGATTTCTCTAGTCACCATGTAGACACATGACTGCAGCGTAGACAACATGAATTATGACCCATCTTAAAGATTTTTTTCTTCTAAGACAAAAAAATAGCTCGATAAAATGAGAACCTGTATACCGTTTTCTCTACAATTATGACCATCAACATACATGACTAAATATATTTTTGAACCTATCAATGCTTTTTGTGCTATGGATTTATGAAGTGGTACTAGTACTGCACAGGCTCCTTATGCTTAGATAGATACTTTGAGAAAAAATAGTTATATGTATACATTTGACAGGGAATTAAGATGAAAAAGTAGAAAACAGCACTGGTAAATATCAGAAAAATAAATGAAAAAATTATTGCATTTACATTGTACTCAATTTCTGCATTCAAAAACTGACAAAAGATACTATATTGGTGAATTAATTTTTCTCCTCCGCATCAAGAATCATCACCTAATGATAGTTATGTCTTTAATGTAAGGGAACAAGCCAGTTCTAATGACATTTATTTTGTAATTCACATGAGCAGAATTTGGTATTGGGAAAATAATGAATCTAAACTCCCTTTTCCTCTAGAGGAGTACAGGGATCAAATTAGCTGATTTGGATGAGTCTATAGCGATTAGACTGCTCCTTCAGCACACGCAGTTTTACAGTGTTAGTTATTTTCAGTACAGAACCTGAGCTAAACCTTTTTGCCATGTAGTTGCCAGCATAAAACATCCTAAATTCACACTGCTGGGAATTTATTCAAAGATGTTCTTCTTGCTTTTACAATCAGTGGTGGTTATTTTCTTCTCCCTCTGACTTGTATTACAGCGGTGGCCTGTGGTGCTGTTAGTCATACCTGCAAAGCAGTGTAATTTACCACAGGAAAACTAAAGAACCCTTAGCAGGAGAGCTGGCGCATGTACTACTATCCTGTCATTTTAGCAGCAGGGAATCCTAGTCATTTTTAGCTGACCCCTTACTTTCACATAAATCAATGTAATAAACAAAACTATTTTACCCATAGGCACAATCCAAGGCTTAAAATTCTCATGACAATTTATTTAAAAATATAACTCTCTTATGTCAGTGTAGCGTAAGAATATTATCACTTTCTATTAAGAAATAATGGCACAATTAATAGGTTCATTAACCAGAAACAGACACAGCATCATGACTATAAAACAAATCTAACATTTCGGCATTGTTATAACTTCATTACTATTTATCTTTCTGAAAACAACTGTAATGTTAACTCATAAAAGGGTAAAGAAAATATGTTTTATCTTAAGAACAGAAAAAGTACATTAAAAATAATCTAAGGAAATATACATGACATAAAAAACCCCATACAACACTGATACAGGGATCTTAATGCAAGGAGGGATTTTCCCCTGGACTCCAAGACAGGCAGGATTGGGCCCATGTGGAAAAGGTTTTGCTATCCTTCACAGATTTTTTGATGAACAAACGAAAATACCTCCTGTGCTTTCTTAACATTAGGTTGATTAGAAATCCACCTTTTAATAAAAAACCTTTGAAAACCAATTTGGGACTCTAGTAGCATTGCAAAATATTTATTATAAAAAATAAAGTTTATTTCTACCTCTCATATTCTAATCTCTGAACAAGCTAGATTTTTCTCAAACTAGTAAGTAGTCATTTTCTTTGTTCCTGCACATATGTAAACTGTTGAACCATTTACTTTAAGCTAATACAACTTTTTTATATTTTAAATTTATTATACTTAAAAAGCTTTTGTAGAAAGATAGGATTCCATTTAAGTAGATACATTACCCTGTGCCTGAAATACATTCCAGTCAGAGTATAATTCAGCAAGTTGATGACAATGCTGGCTCCAAAAGAAAGGAGGAGACCAGATTGGACAAGAATGAGCTAACAGATTGTGCAGCCCAATTCTGTCCCTTTGAGTGTGATATATTGTTTCAAGATGCTAAAAACCCATACTTTCTCAAAGCATATCTGTTGTGCTGGTTTTCCCATTTTCACAGAATCCTCATTATTAGTACTCTGTACTCTTTTCAAAGCACGTCAGACTCAGACCATATGCCACTGAATAATGCTTATCAATTGTCTAAAATGCCCAATAGAAGAAAGATGTGCCAAACAAAAGAACCGTGAAAGTTATGAAGTCTTTTACAAAAATAATTACATATTTCACATCTGCTACAGATGTTAAGTGAAATAAAAACATCTCCTTGTTATAACTAAATGTTAATTTTTATGACACACTTTTGTGTCATAAAAACAACATCTTGTAGACGGAAGTTGAACTTCTATAATGAGTGAAACACTTAGAAATCATCCTTGGGTACCCTCCTGATCTTTAAAGGCAGAAAAAAAGTCATTTTATAAAATTATTTTTGATGAAGAGTTGACATCCTCATACTCCAGAACTCTCCCATACAAACAAGATGCCTAAAACACCTCCAATAAGATTATTTAAGAAACATTTAAAAATATGGTTTAAACACTTGAGATATATTATTAAAACATATACATTTAACACTAAAAACCTCACCTAAAAGACAGCAATATACCTATTAATGACACAGACCAGATTCTTCTATTCCTGTTTTATAGCACAGCATTACCTCAGAACAATAACATGAAGATAATAGGTTATTTGATTTAAAGGTTATTGAAGGAAAAGTAATCTTTTGTCTTTCCAACAGTTCTTGGGATGGTTTTTTTTTTCGTTTTTTTGTTTGTTTGTTTTTTTAGCAATGCAAAACAGAACTATACGGTAAAATTTAATTCACTTTCATGCATATGTCTATGCATATTTCCACATAGTGTACAAACACATATACAAATCCATAATTGGCTCACACATGTTTATACACTCACATCTCTAAAATCGCAAAATCAGTATGGGCCTGATTCATTCTTTTGGAGTCAATGAATGCCCTCCATTCAAGTGCCCTTGAATTCAGTGGAAGCTGGCTATTGTCTGGTATGGATACTATTGACTATTACAGTAGGTATGTTTGTGCTACAGGATTTTAGTTATTTCTAGAGGTTTCATAAAGAACAGTCTTAACAAGATGCAGATGGTAAAATGATGCACAAAGCAGAATGCAAAAATCATTGTGGTTAAAGTTAAAACTGTGTACATGGGTACATTTCTTCTCAGTCCCTGCACTGTAAATATAAAAAAAAAAATCCAAGTATCTGGCCAAGGAATAAATTTCTTTAAAAAAATCCAAACGCCAAATAAAAAAACACCCTGCTTGTTTGCTGGCGAGAACTGCACTCTAACTTCAAACAATAAACAATAAATACTACTTTGTACTTTTGTTTTAGGTTAAAAACAAAAAGCAGTAAAAACATTAGAGAAAAATAAATAAACTGAAAACTTGATTCTAATAAATTATGTTGTAAAAAGATTGCAACATCTGCCGCCACCACAGATGTAGATGCAATTTCTGAAAGAGAAGGACTTGTTCCTCTTTAATCAGCTCCTAATGTAGAACAGTATAACTGATCTTACCCAAGCTTACCACCACAAACTGGTGGCACTGTCTGTTTCCAAAAGGATAATCTGAGCTGTTGTCCCTTTTAACAAGATAAGTAATGGGTCACAAGCTTGAACGTGACAGTCCTGGCTGACAGCTCCAAATTAGAATTTTAGCTAGAAAGTTTATATTTAAAAATCATCTCATGATTATACAAAAAGGCAGGGTAAGCATAAGGTTTTCTTTTTTCTTTGGCACACTGGCATCAATGAACAATAAAAAGAAATAAAGAATTACTCAATTTACAGGGGCAGTCTTCTCTTTGAGATGCACTGCCTATTCACATTTCTGTCATGATGCACCCGTGCCTCGTAAGTATAACTGGGATGATCTTTACAGAGTGACGTCCACTGAAGAGTCCTTGCAACTACTGCAAATGGCAAGGAAGGCAGCTTCAGCTGCTTCTTCACTCTTTGGTGAAAAATAAACTCTGTGTTGGGACTGCAAATCCTAAGATGAATAGAGAGCTCATTTTGGAATGTGTATGGACAATACACTTTACAGAAAAAGGAAAAAACCCACCTTTAAGGCTCTAAACCCACTATTCTTTCTTCTTCAAGAGACTGCCCACTCATACTCTACTTTGGGCAAACTGTGGCAGTCCTGCTTAAATCCTGAAGAACTTCTGCATGTGCTATGCATAGCAATTGGCAAATATAGTGATGAGCTTTGAAGTATCAAATCTCAGTAAGTAGGGTATTTCAACATCATTGGAGGCTTCCTTGCTCAGACCAAACTAGACATGAGGTATTTGAGTGGACATTTCTTCATAAAAGGCATGCACATAGCCTGAAACTTAGTTGGATAGAATCTATTAAACAGATCTAACTATTGTGCAACAACATGTCCAGTAGAATTGGAAAACTTATCAGTACTAGAAACAGCAACTTTCATCAAGTACGGTTCAGTGTTATGAAGACTGACTGCTGTCTCAACTTTCTGAATACTGTAGGAACATGAGTATGAGCACGAAACTGTACATCAGACATGAAATTCAAGGAAAGCGTCCAGGAAGAATAATCTCCAAAACCGAATGGAGCTGCCTGTAATCTATATTTTCAGTAGATGGATGTAGAACAAAATTCCTTCTTGACTATAATTCAGTTGCACCTGTTAGACTACTGATTCCTGTGAGGGAAAGAACATCTTGTATGATTCCTCCATGATCCAGGCATGCTGTTGTCTACTTTGGTGGCAACAGTTGAAGGGTTGTTTCTGTATGTCATTTATGCATACAAATATGTATTCCAGAAGCTTCATACAAGTTCATGTCCTTTGAAATACAACTGATTGAAATATTGTCTGAATTTGATACTTGGAGCTGGGTGGCAGAGATGGGGATGGATTTGCCTGTTATCTGAGAGTACTTGGTGAAAAGAAGTAATCTGGAGTTTTGTGAACAGAACACTTCACATGCTGCAAATGAGAGCCTGGTTTGGCACTACCACTACAGGGAGAATTTCTACAGAGAAGATGAGGGAAGCTAAGATGATGGCATAGCTGATAAACAGTTACCAAAGATCCAGTATTGGTCTCTCTCCCCACTTCAATCCCTCCCCCACAAGACCTGAATCTCTCTGTTACTGTCATAGAAAAGCTGCCATGCAGGGTAACAGAGAAAAATCATTTTTAATGGCTGTAAGAATCTGTGTCTACCTCAGTAGCAGTTTTCCAGATGTTATTATGGATGGCATTGTTTACAGCATTTTAAGAAGCCTTATGAAGTCTACCCACTAGGAAGCTAACATAAACATAGACTAACATTCGGCCATCGTGTAGCAAAACCAATTACACCACTAAACAAAACTAACCAATGAGTTCTCAAAGGAATCTTATGTCAGCCAAAATTAATGTCATACAAATAAGGCTGAATGAAGAAAAATGCCAACGCCTGTTGTAAAGCTTGTAAACTTTGTATACACCCATTTATGAAAAATCTCTTATATCTCACCATACTTCGCAATTAACAATTACAAATACTTTGAAAATAAAGTCATTTGTCTATAAGTTCCCCTAAAGGAACACTGGTTGGCAAAAAACAAACGTGAAAAACTGACAGGCAACAAAAAATGTTGTTTAAAGGCAACAACAACTTATTTCTTCTGTCTGGTCCATTTTTATCCCATATGGAATTGAGAAACACTTGGGCAAGTGTTTAAGATAGGGAACACCTACTATAAAGTAGAGAATACCTACTACAAAGTAAGTATTCACTAATTCTACTTTTAAAACTTAAAAATGCTATAGCAATACGGAGAGAATTTTGTCTATTTCACCTAGTCCAAGCTTGACTTTAATATAACTTGAAGTTAGAATTTTAAAATAAAAAAAAATTATTATGGATAAAGAATTAAGCAGTACATACACTACGTATGTAGCACTACTATAGCTTTGTCCTTTGCTTCAATGTCAAATGAAACTTAGGCTAATCATGCTCATTTAAAACACAAAACTACAAACTGGTCGCATAATTACTTAAAGAAATGTCCACTTGAAATTGTGGGTACTTCAAACACAACTGTGTTCTGCATAATAGTGGTAAGATACAACAACTTGCGACTTAATCCTCAGTCTTTTATATTTACGTAATCAGAACTGAATAACTTGGTAGGTATCTTATGCTCCAAACATTCAGCTTATTAATTCAAATACAAATCATATGCAAATGTTATTAAACTAATAAATGCAAAGTCTGCTTGTCCTCGTTGGCTCCTCTTTCAAAATCTTCAGAGGTATATTCTGAAACATATAAAATTCAAAGACTCCTAACAGAAAACCCTTTTCCAGCAAGTGAAGAAGCTTCAGTTACAGTTCTTTTCAGGATAGTAGTAGCTCACAGGACATTAGGAAGCTATTCATATTAATGCAAGTTATTTAGGGCAAGCTGCATGTTGCATATTCTAATTGTAGGTGAGATTGCTACAGTAAACTAGCACAAGGTACTAGATTACCCTACTATGCACTAATAATTTTGATATGAAATGTTTCTGTTACGCTCAAGAAAACATTAAATAGGGGTTATACGGTTAGAAAAGCAGCATCAAATTGGGACATCTTTTAGTACTAGTAGTTTATCAGCCAAGACATCCATTTTCTCTTTTAAAATCCATCCAAAAGAGGAAGGATACAGATGTTATACTTTATCTCAGAAAAATCACACTTATTTTTTTGCAAAGAGCAAACAAAATCGAATAATGTCATCTAGAAACCTATACTTTTTGGCATATAATTTCTGGTATACAATTGTATAACTATTCATACAACTGTTGATATATAAATATTCATACAATATTCAGTTTGGGCCTTGTATTTATCAGTCATGCATTTTGCTGTGTTTTGGCCCTATATTATCACAGAAATTCCTATGCAGAAGGTCTGCAACCATTAGAGAACGCTAACTTCCAAAATCTAGGAAATCTGAATATCAACCAAAGAATTGTTTAGAAGCAATGATATACTATAAACCACTGAATGGTTGTTTATTATTTGACCATCATTCATGTTTTGCAGTAAATGAAAGAAGGATTTTTTTAGAAACAATACAAGAAAATGTAATTGAAGATTGTACTGCTTGAAAAAGAACAAAAAATTAAACCTTTACTCCAGCATTGCTTAAAATCTGAGTATTTGACTTTGTAATCTTAATGTTCTTGTAATAGAGATATTGGCAGAAGCGATCTTTTTTTTTTTTATATAACATTGATTTATTTCATTGATACACAAGACTGAACCATTCCTAAATTGTTGGTTCTGCAGTATATTTGTCTATATGTATGTATGAATATAGATGGATAGACACATGTATATACATATGTACATATATACACACAAATATATATACATATACAAACCCCTCTACACATAGAGTTATCTTATGAGAAGGATGATTTTGCTCCTAAAACACTGGAAGAGATTTGGTTTAAATTCCAACTCAATGTCTATATGTCACAGATTTCCAGCTGTAAACTTTGGAGAACACTAGTCTTTTTTCTTTTATTCTTTGTCTTATCTTTGTATCAAAGACTTGTATCATGTGATATATGTTGTCTGGGACAATGAAGCTAGCATTAATAATAGATATGCAGGAAAACCAAAGATAAAAGAGTTTGCGTTCCAAAGTTCAGCTCTTGCAAAAATGCTTATATAGTCTCAATATTGGCACTAGTTTTAATACATATTGAAATTTAGCATATGCATAGCTGTTTCAAGATCTACCCTCAAATGACTCCTTTGTTTTAGATGTATTTTCTTTTCAAACAAACATCAATAAAATAGAAGCAAAGCACAAATAAAGCAGCTAAAATGATTCTACCTCTCTTTCATCCATCTTAAGCCATTGTTTGGGATCATCCTCGGTGGCTAGGAAAGCTATCAGATCTAAGGCAGTAAGTCTTGTCTGACGTCTGGATGACACAAAAATAAGAACAGGCTTGGCTGGAGAATGACTCCGAATTGCTGTTGAGGAAAACAGAACTTGAGAATTAGGCCCTTTAATGACAAAAATCAGAGTTTCTCTTTGCAATACCTAGACAGCTGATATGCCTTTCTGCAGACGATAGACAGGTATGTCTCTATTCTGCCAGATAGTTACAACTGAGGTGAGCATATATCACCTCTGAATCAAAGATCATATAACTATGTTTAGCTGAATCGGAGTTAATTTGCCCTGCTACTTCCGTAATCATTGTAAGCTAAAGACTTAAGAGAAGCAGTTAGGAAAAAAAACCCCACCAAAACACCACAAAACCTGGACAAGCTTTCTAGACTTCAAAGCTTGTGAATTTCTCTATCTCAGCCTAATAACTATGTTATGTTTTTCTACCCTGTTGGGATATGTTATCTCAGGCTAAGCACCATCAAGGTCCAAAACTTGCTTTCTGCCTGACCCAGAGCTCAGACTGCATAAACTCATATCTGCCTGCAAAGGATCACTTCAATCATTTCAAAACCAGAAAAGGTAAAAAAGGTAGAAAGTGACTTTCTAACAGCTGCTGTGAAAGATGGGCATTATGGTACAAAAGAACTTTGTTTCAGTTGTTTACTAATTACTCTGATATATTTAAACCAATTATGTTTTAGGACTTTTTAAAAAAGCATTTTTTTGCTCAGCCCATGTTTGAAAAATTTCATGTTGCAGCAAAATTTTTATGGTCTCAGAATAAGTATTGCCGTGGAAATGCTGAAATAACCTTGACTATATCATGTCAAACAAGTGGGGAAAAAGCCCTCAATAAATCATACGTCTACAGATTTCTAACATCAACAAGCACTTGAGGTATAAACAGGTATATGCCGAATTTCAAATACTCTCTAAATCTCTTATAAATCCATTTGTTTGTTTTCTCATGTAATTCTCATTCTAGCAATTAAATTTATGCATTGTTAATTTCTGAAAACTATTTCATACTATCCACCATCACATATTGTTCCCCAGTTCATGAATACTACCGAGCATGTGCTCCTGCATACACACACACTATAGTTGTGAAATTATTGAAATAGGATAATTCATGTGTATTTATATCTTACAACTATATATGCCTATATATCTATATATTTTAAAAGCCCAGCATCTAATGGATTTTTGTTGCTTCAGGAACAGGTGTGGCAGAACAGCCCAAGACAGATTTATTGTTCATTAGTGTTTTTGTACAATGCTCTTGTGGAGGTGTAAATAATCTGAGCTGTCAAGATTGGTCTCTAGTCCACAATCAATACTTTGCTTCTGTCATAAGGCTAATTAAAGCAGCTAAAAAGTCACCTCACAAATGTCACCTCACAATCAACAGCAGTTCACATTACAAAATTTATTTTGGAGGTTATTTTTAATTGATATAATAAATATTCCTTATGTAACCAAAACAAAACATGTTCAAATAAAATACGAGAGTTTTTCTTAAATCTATCCTGCTTGCCAGCTTTGTTAAGAATAAAAAATTGAAAACAGAAGCATATCTGGATGCACTACAAATTTTGAATTTTATGGTTATTGCTTTGAAACTAGAATTATAGGAGGTTAGTCTGACTTGCAACTTCTGTTCACAATTTTTTTAATGCTTACATACAGTGGTCCATATGAAAATACCTCAACAGATTAATAATATGAATGGTTTTATTACTTTCTAAATTTCAAATATTTTTACACAAATGTTTCTTTATGGTGTCAAACACTAAGAGAAAACACATTTTATTTCCCCTTCATTAGCACTAATTTTATTCTTCTGTTCTAAATACATTACATTCCTCTGTTATATATCGCATTTGCAGCACACTTCATGTTTCAGACAAATAGCTTTGGGCCATTAGCAGAGCAGATTCCCCCTATACATGCCAAGATTACATACAGTAACACGTGTTGTAAATGTGCTGCAAATGAACTGTGTAAAGTGCTCAAAGTCTTTTTTTCTTTTACAGAAAGAAGGAAAAGGTCTAGGAGCTTATTGCTTACCCTGAAATGCAGGTTTGTTCATGCTAGCCATGCGAGGACAGTAATGCTGGCCAGGGAAGCCCTGAATGTGCACCTCCAGAGGAACTGGGCGTACTGATGGTCGGAAGTTGAACAGACCCATCTACAAGAAAACATTTTTTTCAAGTTTAACCTTGAATTATCTTATAAATTGCTATTTTGTTTTTCTGCAGCACAAATACATATCCATCTTCTGAAACATTTTTCATACCTGGTTAATATTTAGCCAGTCAGCAAGGTCTCTGGCATTTGCTAAAGCAGTGGATAAACCAACTACTCTTACAGGCTTCTCTGTGTGAGATGAGATGAAGTTTGTTCGAGACACAATGACTTCCAATACTGGGCCTCTCTCATCCCCTAGTAAATGAAAAGTCCATTGAAAAACAGAGAAAAAGAAAAGGTTCAGATGTCAAAAAGTATATTCACGTCATAAGTACCAGCACACTTCTTCAAATTTAGCAACGATTCTGATTAAAAACAACAAAACATGCTCACCTAGCAGATGGATCTCATCTATGATAAGAATGGAAACTTTCTGAACATAGCTTCTGTTCTGCCAGCTTCTGCTGACACCATCCCATTTCTCTGGGGTAGTGACAATCAGGTCAGCCTGGGCAATAGCTCTCATATCAGGAGTCACGTCTCCTGTCAACTCTACAACCCTGTAATCGAGAAAGACGGTGGCTTGGCTTTACAAAGCTTTAGAACATCTCAACGTTCAAATATTAACTCCTAAACATTAACTCTTAAAAGACAGAAGAAACAAAATGAAGCAAAGTAATTTTGTTTCTGGTTAAATACTTCTAACAGGATTTTCAAAATTGTTTTAAGTAAATAAACCTGTCTCTCTGTTTTCCTAGCAAATACCATATAAATACCAAATACCATCCCTTAGCAAAACCATATAAAGAGGGTGAATATGAGTCCCAAACCATCTATGGTTAATTTTTCAAAATGAAGATAATATAAGAATATTAGTAGGATATAATGTGAATCATAACATCCTGTCATAGCCAGGATGAAAGCTTTCTAGAAAGCTACCAAGTTGCTGTCTGCTGTTCTGCATAGATCTCTGGTTTGAATAACGATTGCAGTGTATCTGCATTTGCTGGTGAAGTTCCATTAAGATTGGAGCAGAAATTATCCTGAGGTCATTTTTTGGGAAGATTAGCAATTCCAGTTGTTTGCCTTACTATCCTTTCAAGTTCTATGAACAGCATTTGAGATGATCCATCATTTTAGGCTGAATATAATGGATTTTTGACATTTCCATGACACATTCTACATCCAGTTGAACATCTAATAAAAATTCTTCAAAGTAATGTACATCTTCTGTTCAAAATTTCAGTCACAAGTAATAGAGTAAGTTTCAAAAAGGAAATAATACCTGAAAATATTTTAAAATTATGAGGCAAATAATTTATCCTCATAGGCCATTAAAATAGCAAAAAAAAAAAAAATTGCCAATTAATAAGTCACTGCTATGATAATAGCAGGAATCTCACTGGTAATTTCATGTACATAGAGTAGCACCTCTTTCTATTAAAACCTGTGGGGTACTTTGAGTTTTAACTTACAAAAAAGCTATATATAGGAAACGAAAAGGCCCTAAATAATGCATCCTATTGATATAATTTTTAACTCAAGAAAGTATAATTTTGGAAAGCATCTACATGACTGATATACCTTATATGTCATAAAGTAATGGCTGAACTCCAACACCTGAGAAGATCAGCAAGAAATTAAAGTTCCCAAGAAATAAAATTATATCCAATTTATATATGAAGGACAATATATGAATACCAGTATACAGTTCATGCAACTCCTATGAGTTCCTTATAGCTGAGGTTTCTAAAGAAAGCTTATTTTGGATTGCAATTTCAACTTCCAAGGATACTGCAGAGAGAAATCTGAGCTTCATATTTGTTATACTGGCAAGTAATGAGAATAAAAATAGCTGGGTATCAAAGTATGCCCCTTTTTTAGTTTTGATTTTGCTATCACTACAATGACTATTGATAGCATTTTTTAAGTACTAGAAATTTGAAGGATAGTATACAATCAAAACCTATTTTGAAATACTCAAAAGTATTCTGTAGATTTTATTGATACTTGATGGGCTGTTCTTTTGCTTCTTATTTCTCTGATTAGGTAAGGAGAAACATACTTTTTACCAAGTTTTTCTTCAATCCTAACTTTCCAGTCCTCAATTCTTTCACGAACGAGTGCTTTTAAGGGCGCAATATACACTGCCTGCAAAAGAAAAGTCACAAAACCAGATGTTAAACAAGAAACCTTTATTAAAGTGTACCTACAAGGGAAAAAATTATTTAATACTTGTGAGATTTGAACATACTCATTATCTACAAAACGATTAAGGCCTGAGTTCCTCAAATGACCTACAACAGGATTATATTTAAAACAGACAACACTTGAAAATACTGCTTTGTTTCCTGAGCCATTAACAAGCAAATAAATTAAGAAAGAGTAAGAATAATTTCTTTAAATGGAAGTATTTATCATAGCATTTAATATCAAAACCCGCTTATATAAATAATGCCATTTTTTGCCAAGACTATAAAATCTGCAAGCTAACATTCTAGAACAGAAATAATCAGAATTTCCAGGAAGCAATATCTTACCTGATTTCTAGTTATGTCATTAAATCATTAAAACATTGCCAATTAAATTAAAAAGCTGATTACTTTAAGCAAAATGTTGCAATATTTTCCTCAAAGAAGCCTGCTGTGCAGGGAAGCATACTCTGACATGTAGAAACAATATTTATTTACAGATTTATGGATAAATATTCTGAAGCTGTTGAACATGAAGAAACTGCTACATGAAGAATTCACATATATTCTTTAAAATGTATACCCAGGTTCTCAGCTTTATTAAAACCTAAAAGATATATTCCTTTGAGAATTGCCTACTTTGTAAGTCTAACAGATAAGCTGAAAATGTATGTGTGTCTTGTTTACCTCACTTGGACTAACAAATTACATGAAGATATTGAAATTTTAAACATGAATAAGGGATTTATGTACAAGATTTCTGTTAATTTCAAACGTTATTCTTTGGTTAAATCTCACAGTCAGACACAAATATCTTTTCAAAAGACTTTAAAGCTAAAATGTGGTTAACTAAGACAAGATGGCTAATCAAGATACAGATATATATTCACTTTGCAAACAAAATCCCAAAAGAGAAGTTGTTCAGCTTTTATACAATTTAAGAAATAAAACACGGGCAAGTTGGAACAGAAAATTGGCTTGTAGCAATTAATTGCAACTTATTTGTTTAAATAAGAGAGACACTGGGCTAGTTGTATTTACATGGAGAGGAACTAATGGCTATAAAACAGTTCTACTGCTAGTAGGAGATTAAATCAGGAAATGCAGGTAAGTACATAAAAGGAAATCCAGCATGCCTGTATGTCATGTTTTTAGATTTAACTCTAGATGTACACTGATCTAAAGTTGAAATAAAAGCATAATGTACATAATTCAGTACCATTTTATATCCAGATAGGTATAAACTGGAGAAAGCAAAATTCAGTTTGCCATAGTCTTTTTCTAGGCTTTTGTATCGCTGAAAACATGCCTACACAAAATGATTCTAGTAAACCTATTTTACAAACCTTTGATGTAGGATACTTGTTAAAAACTCTAAAGATGGCTAATTCAGCTGCTACAGTTTTTCCAGAACCTGTAGGCGCTCCAAGAAGAACATTACAGTCTGTGTGATAAAGTGTATGAAATATCTGGGTCTGGATAGGGTTGAAGTGTGTGAATTTGTACAGGACTTCATATTCCCGATGTCCCAAGGCTGTGATAGGCAAAGGCTGAAGATCTAGAAGCTCTAAAAAACAAAATAATCATAAGTGCATGACAAGAGATGCCATGACATAATATAGTTTATAATGAAGATAAAGATATTAACCAATACTTCAGTGGAAAACAACTTACACTGGAAATTGTTTTACTTAATATCTCATATGACACAGAGTCCACATTTGGGTCATTGTTAACTTCGATGAGGAATAATAAGAAGTTGATTTTATAGCTTCGAAGTATTTCAGCAAGTACTGTTGTTAGTATTCTGATAGCTGTGAACCAGCCATTTGCATAAATCAATCTTTTTCCTAAAGCTGTTTTGTTTTTACCCAGTTGTATTAAGTTCTAAACTCACTGTATTAGATTATATGTATGTCCAGCTTTTTATCATAATAGAATGTGGAGTCGGAGGACAGCATAGTCTGTGTATTTCAGATTCAAGAAAAAAAATCTATTTAAGAAGGAAGGATTCTTTGGAGTTTCTAAGTTGATGGAGTAATACAAATCAGATGAGTACAACTAAATTTTGCATCTAATCCTCTAAACATGTAATTAAAGACATAATCTTAATAAATAAACAAACAGCCTTTCAATATATGATTCTCAATATATCTTGAGGGCATCTGCTATTCAAACAATTAGAGATTGTGGAATTTGGAAGATGATATATATAACCAGATTGGATTTGGAATCCTACCAAATTAAGGAGACTGCAGTGATTCTGCTATGCAGATGCTTGCTTTGAAGTTTGATTTTTTTTTTTTTTTGTGGCTGGAGGTCTCATTGTCTTTTCACAGGGTGCTTCACATTAAGGTATGATATGGGAGTCATAAAATCTACTGAGGCAATGATGCCTAATATTCTTCACATGCTTTTCACTGATACCTTATGGCTGTTTTATCATTCCCACTGAAACTGTGATTTCTTGGGCTCTGTTGAGGAGAAAGAAGGTTTTTTGCCTAGTAGGGCCTCTACGTACTTCATTGTTGAGTGGGAACCAGATGGGAATTGAAATCAATTACCATAAATCCTAGAGGCTCCACAACTGGTGATGTGTAAATATCTTTCTGTTTCTTCTGAATAGTAGTCAGTGATCAGTCAATTAGATAAAAAGGTTACACATGCTTTTCCAGACAGCGTAGGTACAGTATAACAATAGCTAAACACTTCACAAACACATGTGAATTTATGCATGCCAAAGGACAACACTGTATGAGAACTGAGTATTTCTGAAGGCACTCACTTCACAGACTGCTAGATGAGCCAAATGTAATTACAGTGGAAAGGTTTTACAATGACATCAGGCACAATGAATGTATAAAGCAATTTATGTATCCAGAAAAAAAGAAACAAAACACAAACATATGCTTCTGTGCCAAGTGTTAAAAAAGGAGGGGGAGGGGAAGGCCATGACTTGATCAGCAATGCTGAGTTGAGATGCGATGTTTGGTACTGTAACAGTACTTGCTATGATGAATTTATTTTAGTAAAAATAGTAAAATGTTTCGTATTTTCAAAATTTTAACCATTTGTTTTTTCTTCGAATGCCTTCTATAATACAACCATCCACTCTAAGATTATTTTTAACCAGTCCAGAAGAAATGTAACGCTTACAAGCACTAAGATAAGACATACTGTAACATAGAGATTTGCTTAATTTTATATGACAGTTTCAATTTTCCTATGGTTTATAGAGAACCTGGAGTAACTAAAAGGCTGGTATCATGTTGAGATGAAATGAGCTGCTTTTTGTTCAGGAATTTAAAATTTTAGAGAGCTTTAAAGTTAGTGAAGAAATGGTCTCAATAATACAAATATATCACAAAGTGAAATTCCACATACTTTTCGACGATGAAGCAGAAGTTAAGAGATTTATTGCACTATCGTAAGGAAAACCAATATAAGCAAGATGAATTAAAACAAAATGATCAAATTTGAAGTTACCTGTGTGGGGTGGATGTCTCTCTGGAAGAATCAAATGTTGAAAATTTATGATACATACAGCCTCTGCTCCTAACCATCTATCGGACACAGCTCGAATGTAATATTGAGAAGGAAGAGGTTCAAAAATTGGGATTGTGAACACCAGCAGTTGAGGTTCTTTAGTAATGACCTAATGCAAACATGTAGAGAATAATTACTGAACAGACAAATCAGTAACTTGAAAAATCATAGTTTGCCTCACTTCCATAAGCATTATCAACACAAAGCAATAAAGTATGTGTGCAACTCCACGTGCAAAATGTTCACATCTTTATAAAATATTTCACCACTGGGAATGGATTTTGTTTCCATGGACTTCAAAAGATAAAAATAAGGCTGGCTTTTCATCTTTTTCTTTAACAGACAAAACCACTACAGTCTTTCTTTTTTCACCTGGAAATAACTGTCGCACCAAAGGAGGAGGAGAAAAAGGGACATCTGAGATTAGAAAACATCTTTGTGGAAGTCCAAGCTTATCACGCACATCTGAAACTGAAAGCTGTGCTACTGATTTGAAAATCTGCTTAGGTCAAAATACTGTTTGACCTTACAAATCTGCATCTCGCTAACTTTATTTTGTCTTGCTATGAAATTCTGAATAAAATCCATTACCTGTTTTTTTTGAATGATGAAGTACTCTGAATGATAAATGTGATCATTAGTAGGGTCTTCTACCCAAATCCACCAGGGCTCTCCAACAGTGCCATGTACCTTTAAGAGAGAAAAGATAGCTTTGTTATAGTTGTAATGAAATTCTCTAGATTTGCTGGGTATATCGGATATATTTCTAAATGATGTAGGCTTACAAAGGAATACAGAAATATAGAAATCAGAGGTAAGAGCAATATAACATTTCTAATTAGATCAGTCTGCTGGAAGATTATGTTTCAATAAGAATTTGCTGAAGGTATGTATAATATAAATTGACATGATATAAACGCAACTGAAGTTAGTGCCTCAGCTGTTTATAAATAGACTGAACTCCCAGGGTTTCCTCTAGGCTCCTAAAAAAGGAATCCTTCTGCTTTTTCCTCCTTGTACTTCTGTCTTTGGATTCTGTGTAGAGGATTGTCTTTTGCTATCCACTGCTCATTTTTCAGCCAAAAACATTCTCTCATGAAAAACTGGACACTGAATTGTGACATTCCTCTCTCTTCCTCTCTCTCTTCCTACCTCTTCTAAAAGGATACAGTAAGTGGATTCAGAAGGCTGTAGATCTAGTCATTGCTACAGGTGAAGTGAGAAGAACAGAGAGCTGTCTCTCGATGATTCCCATGCCATTTGGCAACACTTTATTCCATCCTAGGTTTTTGTTTGCTTTGTTGTGTACCTTATTTTGCAATGCCAGCCACAAATCATAGCTAGGTGGGATGCTCAGTTAAGAATTTTTGTTTCTTTGTCAGAATAAATGACTTGTACCAATGTGCAAGCATTTTACTTAAATATCTGAATATTCTAGAATAAGAATTCTAGAATAAGAAAAATGCATAGTAAGGGAGTATGGAAGACATACTATTAAATGAACATAGATTTCTGATGTTTTTGATGAGGACTGTGATAAGGTACAAAACCAGAAGATGAAAAAAAAGTTGGAATTATTCCTAAACTTTAGTTAAAAAGAAGAAACACAAAGCGCATAGTTGCTTCTAATGGCAATTTTAACGCTACAGGAACCTGGTATTGATTCACACATTATTTTCAGCATAATTCATTATTGTGTACTTGTTGGAAAACAGTCTGTGCTGGCTTTTGAAGACAAAAATATGTACTAAGAATAGAACTAAGGTTCTTTTTTAACACGGTTGCAAAATAGATAAATAGACAGTAAAGACACTGTCATTCATTTTCATTACATTTGAATTTCACTAGCAGCTTCACCGGCAACCAAAGCAGTGAAACTGAAAGGACACAGGTCATTGCAGGTGACATTTTGAAAAATTACAGTGAGACTATTACTTTGTCAGGGTTTAGGAGAATTTAAGAAAGAAGAATTAAGAAACGCAATAAAGTTCAAAGCTCAGAAATTTTATTATCAACTGTAACAGCATCTTAGTTTTGGAGAGTCCCGTGACAAAGCGGCATGGGGAAAGAAGGGCAATGTGGGAACAGGCAATGCAACATGCTCTCCAGTAACGATTCTCAAGAACTCTGGGGACCTCTTAAGAAATGACACATACCTGTATTTTGGGCAACTGTGCCCTAAAACTGCATGTCTGATATATGACTCAGCTAATTAATACTAGTTGCATTATTCTGTATTTCTGCTGGACTCCTCCTGGCTGCAGTAAAGCTTACTTGCTCTGTCTGGGTATGTTTATTGCTTCTAACAATATAACAAGAATTTTCCACTGGGATATGGCTCACACGCTTTTACTGAACTTAAGGGCTCCCAGCACTGAAAACTGCAGCTATTAAAGATCAAGATGATGTCATATCTCACGACTACCGAAACATGTCTTCTTTCTCTTGTAAAGGCAAGTGCAAAATTTGTGATGAGATTGTTCTAGAATTAATTGCCCAGGTAAAGGAACAGTCTTAAAACCATGAAATATTAGCCAAGCGAGGTATTTCAGTTAAGTATGGTATTTAAATTTTTAATATTCTGATTTTATTTGACTACTCCCATTCCTTGAACGGAATTTTCTGGCAGCTAGTTTTCGTACCAATTACAGTTAGACCTATAAGTTTCTATAGTGTTGTTCTGAATAACTTGCTAAAATACTGTGTGATGATGGAGAAGCAGTTTTGGAGTGTCAATGGTTGAATTTAAATGACAGTTATTCATTTTCAGAGAATATTAAAATTTAACATTTTTTTTTGTTTATTTACTGTGATAGAAATTTCATTTACCTGAAGAAACAAGAAAATCAACAGCTACCTTACAAAAATTAAAAAAAAAAGACAAAAAAAGTTTTCCAAGTTTTGATAAGTACCAATACACAAATTCACAAAAAAGAGCTCCGTAAGTTAAATTGATAAAACGATCATAATGTTTCCAAAGCAACCATTAGGATGTGTCAAGGGGTCATAGCAGAAAATAGATTTTTGCTGAAGTTTTGCTATAACTTTAGAAGTTCAGAATCAAAATAAGAGAGTATAATTCGGTGTGGACCCCTTTTCAATTTGTAGAAATATAGAAGAACCTAGATTTTGTAGAAAAAAATAAAAATGGATTGAGAAATTACTTTGTATTAAGATACAGTTTAATATGAAGAACAGTCGTGGGATTTTTTGACTTTAATAGATTACAGGTAAAGTGGATGAAAGATTGAACAATAAAAACTTGTTTCAATCCTAAAAAGTAATGCTTGTTTGCCTTCTGAAGTATTGCACATAAATAAGGCAGCAAAAAATAATTCACGTTATAATTCATGTTAGGAATCCATTCAAGTATTTCTGTAATAAATCCAGGTAGCAAACAAAATCTAACTTGCTATATTTTGATCATTAATCTCCCATTCATAAGATAACTTGGTGAAACTTCCAAAAGAAAAGAAAAAGCCTTTAGGCAGGGAAAATAAATTCTAAAATAATCTAAATGTTTGTGGAATAAAACTCTAATTTACTTGCGATTAAGGTAAATTTGTAATCTAAGGGATTTTAAAATTATTTTTTAAATAAAAGAACAGATACATAATATTCACCTTTCAGAATAATTTATCTTAAGCGTAAATCTCCTAAGCGTAAAAAAAACGAAAAATAGGCTTGCCCATTGAGGTATCTTTGCCTTGTTTCTGTAGAAAGTTTCAATATAACTTTCAATATAACCTGCAACAATATAATGCCCCCATGTGGACATTTGTATTTAATTTAGATTTATCTTAAATCTATTTCTAATAAACAGATTCTGAATCAAAGGGTGTAGATAAATCTAAATGTGCAACTAGTACAACTCCTTTCATATAAATTTGCACCACAAAATATAGATGAATATAATTCCAAACATATCTCAGTTTTTCTGTTCATATAAGTCCCAACAGAAAAAAAGGCACTGATGTTGTGAATGTACACTTGTAAAGCCATAAAGAGCAGCAGAACTTGGCACACGTGAACTGTATTTCAATGATTTTCGGCATTTGACATTCATTCATAGTTCAGAGAACTATCCGTGCCTCCCTTTTTCTTGCTTCTCCTTTTTGGGTACATAACTCAAATCTGTGTGTGACTACTATTAATATTCAGTATAAGCACTTGCTTCAACATGTTATAAACAGCACAATCCTATAACAACAGAAATAAAAAGATGATCTTTGTGTGCCGCCTTCTACAAAAGTCTTAAAGGTCATTCCATTCCTATTATCAAATTTGCTTTTTAGCTAAAATAAATATTTTTTTTCTTATCCAAACAGCTATGGACTCCCTGTGATCATCTCCTTTACAGAAGATAAATTAATGTTTCCCGTCTTTCCTCCACCTCCTTTTTTTTTACCTGATCATTCCACGTGAAGTCAGGAGCGATGTTCAGCCGAACTCGGAGCACTGTGCGGGTAATTGGCTGAATTGTTGCTTCCATTATGATGGAGGGGATTTGATGGACACACTGTTTTACCTTTAACCCAATCTTCACATGATGCAGCATATGACCTGCCAAGAAAACATTAGGTATAACAAATTTGCATTTCCAGGAAAAATAATATAACTCCAACTTTCAAATAGGCTTTTAGAAAGGAGTATTATTGCTTGCTTGTTTTGCTCTTAGGTGCATAAATGTCTGACTCTCCTGACCTGGCATGTCTGAATATTTTGTAACACTTAACTTGAATTAGCAATTTAGAGCCTAGAAAAATCAGTATTAACCCCCCTGTTGGCTATAACTAAGGGGTTAAAATAACTATTAAGAATTCACACTGAAAACATATTATGTCAAGCTACTTCCCTTCCCTTTACTGACTTTTTGACCAGGCTCTTACCACGCCATATAGGTTTTTTTTAAAGCATGAATACTAACCTTTTACTTAATAAAGGGCACACATTTGAACTTCTACAGTTCCTGTGTAATGACTCAGACAGAACACTTTTCATAAAACTGAAAAAAGGTAGTTAATAGTTTAAAAATGCACGCAACTAGTAAACATCTCATAGCAGCTCTATCTTTCAGAATACACTAGTGTGTAACTGAGACAAAGGAAAAACTAAATGTTGCAATGTTTTTTATTTTCTATCACAGTCATGGTAACTAAGGCAATAAAGTGATTATTCATTAAAAAAAATTTCCTACTTGTCTTTTACAGCTGAAATCTCTGTTCCCTTGCTCTTCATTTTAAATGTAAACAAAGTATTAGAAGTGATTTTTTTTTTTTTCCTGAAAAATATTGCAACTTCTAGCTTTTTTTTTTAAGGTTGATTTATCACATTTTCACTGAAATTGCTTATATAATTATGTGGAGCATATTTTAAATTTTAATTGTAATGGTCATAAGTACTCACTGTTAAAAGGTACCTTACAAATGGCTACCGATATTTTCTGATATTGTTATGTGGCTCCTGTGCACACTTTCCCATTTAAAAAAAAAAACAAAACAAAGAGAAGAAATCCCATTATTTACATTACGTGCAAAGTGAAAAAGTGATACAAACTTTTTTTTGCTATTGCATGAAATTTAGGAGCGTAACATCTTGCAATTGCTAATTTTTTTATATTGATCCTGACTTTCCCTCTTCTGTTTTTCTTATTTAACAAACTGGCAGATTTTGCCTCCCACAGGTGTTTATCTATACTCTGAAGTAATGAATGATCCTGCTTAAGAAGCAAATCCCTAATGCAAAAGTTTTAACACATATTTAATCAGTTTAATCTGCAGTCAGTAAAATAAGTTTGCACCTCCAGCAAGTGGATTATTAAAAACCAAAACAATTATTTTGTTAAAACTTGGTGATATATGCAGTATTATAGCATACTTGCACAGTGACTAGTTTTTGCAATTAGAGGTAAAACTTCAGAAATCGTGTTAAATAAAGGTAGGTGGCAAATATTCAAAGATATGACTCAATAAGCTTATGTAGGCAAGTACATTTTTTCATGCCAAGAATCACTTCTGTATCACGATGTGTGAGGTGAACTTCTGTGTTTGTACAGGACAGCACTGAGGTTTTGTACACTTGTCTGCTAGGGGAAAATAAGGCTCCTCTCCCAACTTCTGTAAAATATTATAAGACTCTCTCTCCCCCTTTTTTTTTTTAAATAGTCACATTATGAGAAACTATCAATGGCATTTAAGAAATATTAAAACCTTCTGAACAAAAGCTGACTATTTGAGAAAATAGGTATGTTTAACAGAAGAAGAATAAATTTGGCTTATTCCACAACGATTGTCGTCTGTATTCTGAAAAACCAGGACTGTTTATCTCAGATAACACAGGGATTTCTTGGCTTTCTGGAAACTCCATGGTTACATTGCAACAGCACATAGATTGGTGTTGACCAATTCGTGGTACACTGGAATCCAGGGTCTGTGCATACAACACACTCTTCATTCACTGGGAGAGCTGGCACTCATCTGATGCTTTTATCTCTCCCTAGGCCATGGACTGAGTTAGCCAGCTAGCTCCTTTTTCATTCTATCTCCAAGGTCACACAATAACATTTAAAAAGGAAGAAACACTAAGACTGAAACTAGTCCTATGGAGTCAGAGAACAAGGCAGCACCTGGAAGATGTGCCTTTTCTCATTTTGACATGGCTTTGAATTCAAACAAAAATAAGGCGGCTGCCAGGCAAGTGCTTCTTTCGCACCCTTGGTGTCAGAAAGAAAGGTTAGACAGGAAGAAGTATGCCAAGTAAGAGTACTTCATGGAGATGCACACATCAACTTGCTTTGATGTTTATAAGGCTGAAGAACATGAAATATCATTACATATAGTCAGCAATGACCTATTTTCACAGTCAAATTCCAAGTCTCATCTACCTTCAAACTAAGCTAATATAAAACAAAACTAGACATTTTATAGATCTATATTGATACATTTCCATCTTGTCAATACTAGTTCCACTGTGTTGAAGGAAGCAAAACTGGTTTTGTATTTTAATACAAAATTTCTTGCTTCTCCAAGGGCAGGTATGGGGAGAAAGAAGCATAAAAAATGAAAAGAAAAAAAAAAGGACTAATACAATTAATGGAAAAGAATATTAAGTATTTAAAAGTGCACAAATACACAATAAATTAACAAATCTGAATAAAAAAGTGCTATGAAGTTTCTGAATAGAAAAGCACGATATTGCTAGCATTTCAAATAAAATGTTATATTTTTAATACATTTAAAATTATTATATATTATAATGCATAGT